TACAGACACATGCACGCACTTAAAGAGAGAGAGAGGGAGAGAGGAAGAGAGAGAGAGGGAGAGAGAGAGAGAGAGGGAGAGAGAAGGGAGACTTTAAACAAAGTAAGAAAGAATTAAAGCAAACCACTCGAGCTGTTTTCTGAATAACATGCCCAAGTCATAGAATACATTTTTGTAACATCTCATTTTAAGACTCGGAGTATATCCTAGACTGCCATGGCCAGCGCTCTTTGCTCTCTATAAAGACTTCGCTACGAAGTATGTGTATCATGGAAGCCAGTAAAGGACAAAATGCCGGCAGCTTCGCTATTGTCGAGGCCATACGTGGCACTAGTCCCCCATTGCCCCTCATTTGGCACCAGAGTAAATCAAACGGTGCGCTCCTAGAAGTACGTTCAATATGGACGCTCATAAAGCACAAAATGCCAGCCTCGCTATAGTTGAGTCTATACGTGGCACTAGTCCCCCATTGGCCCTCATTTGGCACCAGAGTAGGTCAAACGGCGAGCTCCTAGAGAACCGGAACTACGTCATGGGTGCACTGTCCCGGATATTAGAGCACAAGTATGTGGTCTCAGCAGAACTTTATTCGGTTGAACTAACAGGGGGTTGGAGACCATCACTGTAATTCCTGATCGGTGACTTTTCTTCTGCTGTTTCTGTCTGTCTGTCTTACTTTTTCCCAGCACTAAATGGCCATTTTTGTGTTCATGTGCTTCTCTTTGCTCGAACAAACATAGTTGGCTAAATCAGTCTTATGCTTGATTATCCGCCCCCCCCCCCCCTTCCCTTTTTCTACTCTAAAGGTACCATATGGTTGAGAGAACAACAATTTAAATTTTTTTAAATAGAAACTTGTTAAATATTGCAATGCGTCTATAGCCTTAGAAATATGACTGTTCCCAATTTAGATATTTTGTATTCTGTCTTTGCTGTGTACAAAGTGAGAGCGTTGTGGTATTTTTAATGAAAATTTTACTCAATCATTGTTAAGAGAGAGAGAGAGAGAGAGAGAGAGAGAGAGAGAGAGAGAGAGAGAGAGAGAGAGAGAGAGAGAGAGAGAGAGCTGAGGTTGAAAAAGATGAGTGTGCAGAATCTGGGGGAAAAGGAAAGGGAAAAGAGAAGGTGGGTTGAATGAAAGATTATATTATCAATCATCCAATTGACGTCTCCGTAATCAATCTTCAAAACATTGGAGGTTTTCCTCTGTCATTCTCGACGTAGGCACACGACCAAATGTCTCAATTTCGCTCTGTCTGCCCCCTGGAGACAGCTCGTCTGCCCTCGGTCTGATCCAGAATTGGCAGAGATTTGTCCACCCCTAAGCCCATGGAAGATTTCTCCTGCAGATGAAGCTATTGTCATTCCTGTTGCTCTAATCAACTGTCATCGCAGGAGTAAAATGTCTAATAGGAAATATATTTTCTTTTCTTCTCAGTAACTTATTTTACGTAGTTACAGAACATAATAGATAGACCGGACCTTTTTAAAATGTAGTGGAGGGGTATAAGTTGGTGTGACTGAGAGTTTGAAAAAAAAAAAAAGAAAGAGAGATGGAGATTTAGAGGTAACTCAATTTGAAACAGTGCTTATCGAACAACTGTCGTTGTAAGTTGTTTCTACCATTGCGTGGTTAAGAAAAGTGTACTCTTGAAAATCTCTTTTCTGCTAGCAGGACGCGTGCAAAAAGAAAGTGAAACTGTTTTGGGATACTCCCTTTGTGGAGGGAAATGGGGCTGGGGGAGAGGCAAAGAAGGAATTGTCGTTACCTCCTTTGCAAATCAGCTTTGGAGAAAGAAAAGACAGTGAAATACGTATGCTTGTGTGTGTGTGTGTGTGTGTGTGTATGTGTGTGTGTGTGTGTTTGTGTTTGTGTGTGTGTGCGTGTGTGC